ACATACGACCACGATACATTGATTCCTTTGAGCTAAGCGATCGTGACTGCCCCTACGCGAACGCAAAGGGTAACACTTGATTCTTCTGCCACCTTATTTTCTTCTACGAGAACGCGTCCTGGCCCTCGCGTTCGCAAATCACAATCTCTCCACTGGCCGCGATCGCGACCTTTCTTCTGCGTTTGCATAGAACAATTCTTCACCCTGCCCAACTGAGCCTATGCGACCGCGAACCCTCATACGTGATCGCAATAAACAAAAATGCCTGCAACTGAAACCAGAAAATCTGCAACTTTTCAAACATGAACTTGATTCGTTTAACCAGCCGAAACTCTCCCGAGGCCCTCGGGACCTCAACCAAACATTCCAACAAATCTCATAACATCATTCAAACTTGTTCCAACCTTCGGAATGCTCAAAACAATATCAAAACACCAAATATGCATCGGATACAAGCCTAAGAACTCCAAGAACTTCCAAATTACGCTTTTGATAAAAAAAACCAACCAAACCATGTCCGAATGACCTGAAATTTTGCAAACACATCCCAAATGATACAACGGAACTACTGTAACTTCCAGAATTCTATTCCGACCCTTATTTCAAAATCTTACCTATCAATCGGAAAACGCCAAATCTTAATTTCGCCAATTCAAGCCTAAACCTTCCACGGACCTCCAAAATGCATTCTGATCACTCTCCTAATTCCCAAATCATCTAACGGAGCTAATCAAATCATAAAAATTCCAATCCGAATCATATACAAACAACTCAAAACTTGGTCAAACCTTTCAAATTTCAAGCTTCAAACTGAGAACTATTTCTTCCAAATTCATTCTGATTACCCTGGAAATCAAAACCAACGATTCACATAAGTCATAGTATATCACACGGGGCAAGTCATGCCCGAGAGCTGGCGAGCAAAGTGCAAAAGCTCAAAACGACCGGTCAGGTCGTTACGTCCTTCCCCATTTAAACATACGTTCGTCCTCGAACGTGCCCAGAGTTGTTTCAAGAACCAACCCATCACTGAATAACCTTACCATGCACATACCCGGGGGTAATCCCATGTCACCTTATCTCATATAGGTCCGTTACACAATGTAACTGAAATCTCACAATCCAACCTAGCCCATGAACCTTAGAACTACATTTCCACTTCTAAAATCATCCACAAGATCGAAATCTCACATCTATACTCTGAATAAGCCCGAACAAGCTGTAACAACCCATACCCACAATCTTAGGTGCAATTATATGATATACCACATAACTCAAACACTTGTAGTGATAACTTCTAATCACGGCAGCTGCACACAACAACCGAATATCAATAGAAAACCTCTTATCAACTAAAGTCTCATTCTAACACCTTCATATACTGCCAATGATAAACGAAATACGCAGTAAGTCATAACCAATTCTCAGATCTACCATTCATGAAGCCACTTCTCCTTTGGCGAAGACCATAGCAAATTTCTGAGCCTAACCTTGATATTATCCTTCCAACATACTGAAATCGAATCCGTTTGTATTCATTCTAGATCCCGACGATCATATCTAATTCAACACAACTACTCTGGTGGCCTGACACATTAATACCATCTAAAGCCACAACTCGTACAATCTGCACACCGATAGGCAACAATCCGAACATACTCAAATCATGAAAATGACTCAAATGAAAGAGTTGTACCGCAAGCCCACCAGTACCGCCACAACACCAGGCTGAGAACCCGTCACACATCGTAGAAACAGAACACACAAATCTAACCTGCAGGATCATACCTCCACATAGCTTCGCTCCAATGCGCGACCTCTTCCAAACACTAGTCCACATGAAAAACCTTAAGTCACTACGCTCAAAATCGATAATCGTGCGCAATATGATGTCTAAAACCAAAGCAATCCTCATAACCACAGCGAAGCAATTACATAACTTCACACAACTCGAAAGGACATAACCGATACGCCATCCACCGAGCAATGCCTAGTACTCTTCCCGCTCGAATTCCACTGAGAGGCCCCAATAACACCGCACCACATGTGCCTATAACCAACAAATCCTAATATTTTGCAACACGAAAATATAACTCATAGATCCCCTGATTACTAATAGCTCAATAACTACCGAATCAACACATCCCTCACCAATAGCAGCTCGAAGTCAACAAAGCCATCTCGATGCAGAACACCCATGCATATAGGTCTACCAATGAACCACACATCAACTTTAGTCACCCACAACAGATAAATAACCCTCTGAAGGTTCACAATGACTGAATCATAGCACATACTATCATCTGACTAACTTACCCACATCTTTACTGTCCACAACTACAAGCTAACTTGTTTATGAGAACTTTCAGTCTCCAAGTCCATAAAGCACATGAATTACCATATCTGATCCTAATTTCGCCGCTCGAATATACAACACACCTCTAATACTCAATCATCCCATGAGAGGTATACCTATAATTCTTCTGAGCCACCAAGCAAACTCGAATATCATCAGTCGATCAAACAAGATAGTGCCGCAATACCGATAAAGCATCCATAAATCAAACATATTGCCCTTTCTGAAATGTTATACTGTCATCAAGCCACACCAATTAGTGATCTCATTTATCCAGTCACCTGAAGCTACCCATGCTATCTAAGAATTTGTGACCTTCATTTCAAATCTGAATCGTGACCTTACTCATGCAAATCTCAATCCTACACAACATACCGCATAAATTGTACCATCCTAAGATAACCACGACAACTTCATATCTCTTCCAATCCACAAGCAACTATGTACTCTACTAGCCAAGAACTTCCTATTGATCCCATCTAGAAGAAAATCACTATACATCCCATGCTCCTCACGCCAATAGGAAATATATACCTCTCTAACTATGGTGGAAACCATCTAGAACTCTCCGAATTCCATTTGCACAAAACTAAATCGTCAGGATTAAATCCTTCTAACTCAACCGAGATACGTAGGTCACTAAAACCCAAGAGAATTGTCGTGAAACACCTGTAAAAACTCATTACCTCATAAGCATCCAAAGAACTAATCATATCCTTACCAAACCGACTCGGCCTACTACCAAGCTATCTCATCTATCCGAGTTTCATTCTGATTTACCTTCAACTTGATACTCATTCTTGCTACAACATCACCATTCCTCAATCCAGACTTATCACACGAGACCCAAGCATAAAACCACACCGTCTAAGGCTCATAACCCGCTAAATACCCTCTTAAATATCCTCAAAGCAAAATATTCGAAATACTCTACTCTGAAGAGACTTCATGCGAATCTAAATCTATTACATTTATCTTCCTAATGCTGATGTATATAAAATTCCCTAATTGATATCAAAATACCACAAATCTTGACACCCTCCAAATGCAAACCTCGGTTTCTAGCCAAAAGTACAACTTGAAGATCTCCAATTATTACAGGTAAAATCTTAAACACATTAGAACCATTTTCTAGAGTCATCCACTCTACTCAAACTGCAATTAGTCTGATCAAATGAACCGAGCCACTTGTGCCTCATTAGCACTCCGACACCGCAGAATGTAACCTCACCTTAATGCAGCCAAGCAACTTCCTGCCCCATGCCCCGAGCATCCTTCACCAATAACCACTCAAGACACTCTGTGATTCTCATACACTTATGAATCATGACATAACCTTTGTCAACATTTTCCTGTACTCGAGCCATCCTCGGTCTCAATCTTCGTAAGCCATAACTGATTCACCTGCACGCCTCAAACTAGAACCAACATAGCACATAACTGTGCAATCAACTAATTAATAGCGGACTCCCCACTTGGCTCGAAGCCATAAACCAAAACACACACAATAACTCATAACACATATACTTTATTGCTGCCATAATACCATAGTGAGATTAAACTCAATCCTTCATAAACTCGTGAAACACAGACCATCTGGTACTTTAAATCTTCTGCAAATCTCGTATTCACTCTCGTAGCAGAAAAGCCTACTCTCTTGAGCAACCCAAATTCGAATTGTAACACATATATTTCCCTGGTAACAGAGATCTTTCAATAAATGACATAAGGGATTATGCAAACTTCAGAACAATCCGCAGGAGATAACCCACCTGCGTCGCCTCAACTAACATCTCTTTGTACCCTTCCACCGTCATAGATATTACGCAGTCACTTAATCTTCCTGAGTCTGAACTCACAGCACAACATGAAATCCACTTTACTCCCCCAACTAGAAAACATGAAAAGATTCTGCACACACCCATAACTCGGGACTATACCTTAAATCAAGATGGAAATCAAGCACCTAATAGTTCTTCTATCCTCCAGTAGACCCTTCTTGTTGCTTCCAAATCATATAGATACATCTCGCAGTCATAACATACTCATCACATAGACATGCAGCCATCACTTCTACTAATAGGGGCACTACCGAACGTATAAGTTCAAAAACACTTGCTCACACAAGCAGCACCTTGGTGCTCAAGCTGCAGGCAAAACCTAGCCTCAAGTCCTCCGGACTGGCCCCAACATCAACGCACAGACAAATCACATCTCGCCCCTCGATCGGGGAATCACAAGCCATCGACGCACATCTGATACTGAGCGCTCATGCGCGCATATGAATGCGTGGAAGGAAATCAAAGGGTTACACTCCAAGCTGAATCAAGGATGCACGATAAGAATTCAAGAATGTGAAGTTTTTCCTAAAGGTTCTGCAGCCTCCCAAGGATAAGTACAGATGTCTCCGTACCGATCTGCGATACTCTATTAAACCTGCTCATGACTCGTGAGACCTATGTAACCTAGGCTCTAATACCAACTTGTCACGACCCCAAATTGGCCTGGTCATGATGGCGCCTCTCGTGAAGACAATGCTAGCCGAAACAACACCCATATTAACCCTTTAATCACTAAGAGTCATTTTTAAGCCTTTAATTAAACAAATGTTTCATAATATAAGTCTAAATGAACAGTGCGGAAATAACATACAAGCCCTACATCGGGGTGTCACTAGTCATAAGCATCTACTACAGTTGTTTAACCACATCAAGACCAATAGGGTCAGGAAAAGTCACAAGAATACATAAGGAAGAATAAAGAGGGAGAAAGCAGAGCCGTGATCGCCAGGCAGCTACCTTGCTATCTCCGATGAAACTGCCGCCAAGCTCAGAAATACCTGAATCTGCATACAACGTGCAAGGAGTAATGTGAGTACTCCAACCCAGTAAATAATAAAAGTAAACAAAGTCTGAGCAGTAAGAAATCACGTATACCACATCATGGCACCACAGAGGGTACCACATGTTTCCAAAAACAGGATACAAATCAAANATATATATATTAATGAAAATCATGATCTGCCCCTCGGGCAAAGCATAGTTCGTATACAACCCCTATGCATAACAGAAATTCACAACCATTTCATAACTTAAAATATCAGTTTAAATGAAAGTCATTTAAAACATTTGTTCAACATTTTCAATAGAGGTTAGGTCTAAAGATGAGTAAAAGTAGTAATTAAATCAACATGTTCAATAGAAACTCACTTTAAAGAGGAGTGAAACACAGTAAGTTCATAAACTGGCCCCTCAGGCAAACATCACTCATGTACATGTATATACCTAGCCCCTCGGGCAAGCCTCCCAGTCACTCGTGACTCAACTCTTACCAATTAGCGCTCACATTCAGCACTCACACTCAATAGGTACCATATAGTAACCGCTGCGGCGTGCAGTCCGATAAATATATCGTTGCGGCGTGCAGCCCGATCCATATATATAGTCGACTGCGCTCATTGGGGGTGTGCAGACTCCGGAGGGGCTCCTACAGCCCAAGCGTTATATCGTTGCGGCGTGCAGCCCGATCCATCATATCGTTGTAGCGTGCAGCCCGATCCATATATTGTTGTTGCGTGCAGCCCATATATATATATATATATATATGGGGCTGCACCAGCCCGATCCATTAATATATAATCCTCACAACCAGGCCGTCGACCCCTCTCAGGCATTAACCTCACAATCAAACCCTCGATCTATCTCAGTCATCAACCTCACAATCAGAACCTCGGTCTATCTCAGTCATCAACCTCACAATCACTCGGACCATCAGTAAAATAGGGAACTCAGCCCAAACAGTTTACACATTTTAAGAAGTAAATTGATAAAACAAGATTTAGACAATAAATAGGTAAAATATGGTTGAGGATATGCTTTCAAAACAAATAGAGTGAGGAAAAATAGTGAAAATGCCCCTAAAGGCCTCAACAGGTCGGCACAAGGCCCCAAACATGGCATACAGCCCAAAATATAATATCAATCTCTAAAATATGGAATATCACAAGATTTCAAATCAAATACGCGACTTAACAGTCGTACGGGACGGACAAAGTCACAATCCCTAACGGTGCACGACTCCACACGCGTCATCTAGCTTGTGTGTCACCTCAAAGTAGCACAACGATGTGAAATCCAGGGTTTCAAACCTCAGGACAGCATTTACAATCATTACTTACCTCGATCCGGTCCAAACTCTAGCCTGCGATGCCCTTGCCTGCACGAATCGACCTCCGGATGCTCCAAATCTAGCCAAAAATCAGTACATAACCATTAAAATATGCTAAGGGAACAAAGCCTACTCGAAAATATCCAATTTACATAAAAAAAATTCTGAAATTGCTCAAACCCAGCCCCAGGCCCACGTCTCAGAGTCCGATAAAAATTACATAAATAAAATCCTCATTCACTCACGAGTCTACCCATATAAAATTCATTAAAATCCAACCTCAATTGCCCATTTAAATCCCCAAAAGAATTCTCAAACTCTTCTTCCATTTTTCCCCAATTTTCACTCTAATTTCTCAAATTAAATGATGAAATTCAAGACTAAATCATGGAATTAAATCAAATATAAGTGAAGAATACTTACCCCAATTGCTCCACTGAAAATCCCATCAAATTGTACCTTCTCTTGAGCTCTCCAATGGCTTTTATGATATTGGACTCAAACCCTCGATTTTAAAAATATAATCTGTCTGCCCAGATTTTTCCTTAATCGCGATCGCGGAAACATCCTCGCGATCGCGAAGAACAATCTTGTTGCCTCGATATATTCCTCTACACGACCGCGTTAACCAACATGCGAACACGATACATTGATTCCTCTGAGCTACGCGATCGCGACTGCCCCTACGCGAAGGGTAACACCTGATTCTTCTGCCACCTTATTTCTTCTACGCGAACGCATCCTGGCCCTCGCGTTCGCAAATCACAATCTCTCCACTGACTACGATCGCGACCTTTCTTCTGCGATTGCATAGAACAATTTTTCACCCTGCCCAACTGAGCCTACACGATCTCAAACCCTCGTACGCGATCGCAATGAACAAAAATGCCTGCAACTGAAACCTAAAAATCTGCAACTTTTCAAACATGAACTTGATTCGTTTAATTACCCGAAACTCCCCCGAGGCCCTCGGGACCTCAACCAAACATTCCAACATATCCCATAACATCATTCAAACTTGTTCCAACCTTCGGAACGCTCAAAACAACATCAAAACACCAAATTTGCATCAGATTCAAGCCTAAGAACTCCAAGAACTTCTAAATTACGCTTTTGATCAAAAATCCAACCAATCCACGTCCGAATGACCCAAAATTTTGCGCACACATCCCAAATGATACAATGGAACTACTGCAACTTTCGGAATTCCATTCCGACCCCTATTCCAAAATCTCACCTATCAATTAGAAAACGCCAAAATCTTAATTTCGCTAATTCAAGCATAAACCTTCCACGGACCTCCAAAATGCATTTCGATCACGATCCTAAGTCCCAAATCATCTAACGGAGCTAACCAAATCATAAAAATTCCAATCCGAGATTATATACAAACAAGTCAAAACTTGGTCAAACCTTTCAAATTTCAAGCTTCAAACTGAGAACTGTTTCTTCGAAATTCATTCCGATTACCCTAAAAACCAAAACCAACGATTCACATAAGTCATAGTATATCACACGGGGCAAGTCGTGCCCGAAAACTGACAAGCGAAGTGCAAAAGCCCAAAACGACCGGTCGGATCGTTACACTCAGGCTCAACCCGAGACACCAATTAATAACTATAATAAAACGTACATTATTAACATCTTTAATATTATAAGTATACAGTAGAATCCAACAAAATAACTTGTGATTTCGCAAGTGAAATTGGGTACCATTAAAGAAGAAATTATCAGACAGGATTAACCACTCCTAAAAAATTTATTCTATTACAACATCAACTTACAAATTCCATAACTTAAAAAAACAAAGAAAAAAGCAAAAACTAACAAAATAATTCTAACGAAAGCATTTACAAACTTTTCTAGAAAAGTAAAAACAATGAAAATCAAACTTGGACACGCGCGTCTCTCTCATGTTTATCTCACTGCATGATTTTGTATTCTGTTGTCGTTCTAAAGTATGACTAGAATTTCCAACTTATAAGAGAGACCACATTATTAGACGCCAGCAAATGATCAATTGGAAAAGATGTAAAAAATACATTCAGTAAAAAAAATGGATTCTATCTCAAATCTAAAGAAGACTGTCACACCTCCTTTTTTACTACATTCCCGGAGGAGGGCGTAAAGGAGTTTTTCCATTTAAAGGACAATCGGAACGGGATTTATTATTGAGATTTCAGAGTCGCCACTTGGGAGATTAATGGTGTCTCAAGTCACCGGTTGAATCACAAATCGAGGAAAAACATGACTCTGTTACAGTCTGCGAACCAAAAATTCGAGTAAGGAATTTTGTTAACCCGGGAGAAGGTGTTAGGCATTCCCGAGTTCCGTGGTTCTAGCACGGTCGCTTAACTGTTGCATTTGATTTTATCTGATTTTAATACCTGCTAGCTTATGTGCCTTTTATTCGTAAACCGCTTTTTATCATTATTTATTTTAAAAGAATTGCGACGACGTGAAAACGTGTTTCGAACCGCGTCGCAATCAATGCACCTGTGGTTGTCAACACATTTCGACTTCGTCGAGATTTGGATTTGGGTCGCATCAATGCGCACCCGAGTTTAAGAAGGTAATTTAATTAAAATCGCGCCTAAAGATTCTAACGTAATATTATTTTGGGGAAGGCCGTGAAGTTCGCTAAATGGCGCTCCCAAATTCTAATCATTTTTAATAACCATTTATTGAGGGCCTCACATTTATTTATTTTTGTTCGGTGAGGCTTGTCTCAATTTGTGAACCTCTTTTCTATCATTATTTATTTTATAAGAATTACGATGTCGTGAAAACGCGTTTCGAACCCCGTCGCAATCAATGCGCCCGTGATTGTCAACACATTTCGACTTCATCGAGATTTGGATTTGGGTCGCATCAATGCGCACCCGAATTTAAGAAAATAATTTTTAATAGCGCTCCTAAAGCAACTACGCACTTCCAAATTTGCGAGGGCCATGGAAATTCAACTAATGGCACGCCTCGATTGAGATTTACGTATCATGACCATGCCACGGGAACCGTACCCATGACCACAATAATTTAAAATTAATCGCGCCTAAAGCAGGCTACGATGTTCATATGTTCTTCATCTCCTAAGCCATAAGGGAGCGGACAAACAGTGAATGACATGAATGAAGGAGTTAAATACGCTGAAGGATTATCATCAACCAAACACATTAATAACCTTAGATAAAAACAAAGCTCACGTGACTAGGAGCAACAGATCTTAGCACTAATATTAATAATAAAACTAACTAAATTATCACCTTTAGTTATTAAGAAATTGAAAATACATTGAGGATTAATCAATATATTTGACCGGAAGCAACAAGTATTTATAACATTCAAACTAAACATTTGAAGCCAAATTTGCTCCTTTAATACTGTCATTTGACAACTTTTGGAATTCTACTACAATTTTGAGCACAATTTCTAAGACAACTCGTAACATTTCAAAATGGAGAAGAACAACAACTAATAATATATATTGTAGTTTCAAAATACGTAAAGTATAATGAAAATTCCGTTTACTTACAATTACTTCAACATTCAGTTGATTGTATATTAGATATGATTTCCAAAGAACAAATAAGATATTCATCGACAAAAATTCCAACAAACAGATGAATAATTCCAACAATTGTACAACATGTCACTTTAGGCTACAAGTGTAAAATAAAC